GCTCGGCAGGAGAGCTCTGCCCAGCCTGGCTGCTCCGAGCAGGGCGTGGGGGTCTGGGCTGAGGGCAGCACAGACCCTGCGCTGCCACCAACTGTTAGCTAAGCTGCTATTTCTGTCTTTCTCTGCTTCCTCAGCACTTAGGGATCCAGGATTTGCACTCTAAGAGGTTTTAGGGTATTACCCGTCCTGCCGTGGCACCATCAGGAGGGGCTGTCTGCAGCCCATCACGGACCACACAGCAATCCTGCCCTCCCCTGGCACCCGCGTGGGCTGAGCCTTGGGCTGGACGGGAAACAACCTCCTCGGGAAACCTGCAGGGACCTGCTCACCCCACCTGAAGGTGAGCACAATCGTTTTCCCACTCGTGCTCTTCATGTTCATCCATGTCACTGCTGCAAAGAACCTGGAGACCCCTCCTCCCCCATCCTCCCCAGCTCTGGGGTTGGTGCTGCTCTGCCACAGATGGACACAGGCTCGCAGGTTCTGCACGAACACAAACCTCCTCCCCAGCAGCTGAGGTCCCGCGCTGGGGGAGCATGCACTGCCCTCCCATGTCCACACTGAAATGCACAGGCCTCCCTGCAAAACCTCACGGCATCTTTGCTATCATTGCCCAAACTGGCAGGCAAAACTGCAGTGGATATTATTGGTTTTTTTCAGTAAGTGAAGTAATTTCTTCTCTTCCCTCTGTTTTAAGTGACTTCAGTACTTTAAAACACTGGCTGTGAATTTTAATCCCTGCAAGAAATAAGTTATGGGATTCCAGGCTAATAAAAATATTGTTCCTTGAAGACTTTCTGCTGGACTTTGATCAGAGAAGACTTTCCACTCGTTTGCTCAGTGCTTGGATGGAATCAGTTTCACTTCTCTCAGGCTTAACCTGCTATTAAAGTGTTTGCTGGCTCTTTTGTCCTTGAGCACAGCCCACCAGGCCCCTGAGAGTGGACTGAGCTCAGTGCTGGTGCTGGTGTCCTGCACAGGCAGCTCCACACTGTGTGCAGGGACTGCAGGGCACAGGCCCTGCCTGTCTGCCCCCAAACAAACCACCGGCCCCCCAACCTCAAGGCCCCTTCCACCCTGCCAGGCTTGCCTGGTTACATCCAGTGTCCCAACTAAACCTGCAGCAGTAGAGACATTGTGCTGCACCAGTAGGGAGGGGAAAAACAGCTCTTTCACCACGTCCTTTCTCAGAAGCCTGGGGCTGTACCACAGGGCTGTGGGCTCGTCCTCGGGCTGTGCTCTAGGACAGCTGTGCCCCACAATATTTTGGCTGCATTTTTTGCTCCCGGCTTCTAGTTTGGTGCTTTGAGGGACAAGAACTTACCAGCGAAAAAAGGATCCCTTTCCTGAAACCCAACCTCATCTCCTGCCACCACATCTCCTGACCAAGCCAGTTCATTTACTCCGGGTGCCAACGCAG